CACGACTCTAGTTTACCGCTATTAAAATGTTTTGAAAACGCCAAAAATGCCTTTTAAATGAATTTTGTATAATGCGCTTGGGATTATTAGYCAGGAAACCGAGAGGAATTCTGACCAYATACTGAAGTCTTGCCCACAAATCAGGTGCACAAATGGGATCCATACCATTGAAATGCGTTTATTTATACAGCGGTGCTTCATARCAAGTTCATACACTTCCTTGTGTGCGAATATCAGGAKGCTTCGGTGGGCTGTAAAAAGTTTTTATGATTYCAAAACACACGAGAAATGTGAAATTGTGCGCAAACTAAAAGATGGCCGAGTTGGAGTAGAMATATCGACATTTGTGCAGKGCCTTGCGGATTTCATTGTCCMYTCTATTATTACTAAAGCTATGTTCAGACAGACGTACGRGGAACTWTCACAATMACGACCGACTCCACAGTWTAGTWCTTCAAGAAAGTTCATTAACTCTCTTTTTTTCCTTGAATAACTACTTTGAATAATTGAGGTATACACGAATAATGTTTATCAAGCGTCAAGAGGGCTAAAATGCACAATAAAATCGCGTTATTCTTATCGACCGATTAATGAAATCATTCCATCAAAAAGACGTAGTAGCTCTTTCTTCGAAAGGTATTTTTGATCAATTTCGGATTGCTATTCACATGTGCTCAGCTCATTAGCAAAGCTTTATAAACTTAAACTTCTGAGTTTTTAACGTCAAGAGAAGTCGAATAGTTCCGTTACTTACATGTTACTTACCCTTGGCGAGAGTCTTCCATTCGATGAAGTTCTCATTTCGACAACGAGGTAACAACTAAAAGAGTGGACTGAAACACTTTAAAGTTTCTTAACCAGAATTGTTATCAACAGAGTAATTTCCACACTACTCTTAAAGATCAGAGGTTGTTGACATTGGATTATTGTTTGGTAACTTTTTATTTGTTTTAAACGGATTCGGTATGAGCTGTTAATAATTGATTTCAGTACATGTGATGGGATCCCTGTATACTTATGTATCGCCGGCATTTTTTTTTAATTGTTTTTTGGTTGTTTTTTTTTTTGGTTGTTTCTTTATAGAATTTCGATAATTGTCATTGACTTTTTCTTGAAAAATATCTTTGACTACATCTACATCTACATCTACATCATTTATTTGCAAGATCCTGGCGGACATACAGCAAATTCCAAAATTGTTAAATTAAATTAATAAATAAATGTACAAATGGAGTGAAGTATAAAAAGTATAAATGCCATGTTCTTATTATTAATATTATTATTATAGTTATTAAGGGTTATAGTTATTATTGGTTAAGTAAAAAATTATTAATGGCTGGCTTAAAATTGTCTAATGTCAGATTCATGATATTGACTGTACTGAATGTTTTCTTGGATCTACAAAGTAAATCTTGCTTGTCTCCAATGCTGACTCTGTCCACAGTACATCGTGTTCTGTGTTTTTCTTTTCAAATTTGCAACAGTGTTCATTCTACCAATGGTGAGATGACAGGAAGCTGTCCATTTTGAATGAGCTTCGTGGTTTTGGATTTGTCAGTTTTTGAGTAGGCTGTCATGACTGCTCTAAAAGACTTGCCATATTTGTAATGGTGTTGTTTATGTCTGCTTCTGTTATGTCTGATTTTAACTTCTGATTATCCATGTCCTAAAATTATAAGATTACTTAAGATTAAAACAAATGAAATAATCAAATCTTTTGTAAAAGAATGTTGCAATGACTCATCTATTCCATTCATATCTAATTTCAACGATTGATTGATTCCTTGATAAATTCATCAATTGACTCAACCATTTTTTTCTCAGGGCTCGAAATAACGGCCAGACATATGCAGGAGAAGATGTCCCTCCAAAGACTCCAAATTCATTTTTGGAAGGTCAGATCTGCAAGCATTTTAATGGCTTGTAGGCACTTGTAAAAGATTTATTTAGCAAATTGGGAATTGATTACGACTCATACTTTTTTGAAACCCACCTTCAAATTGGCAGATTTTATCTCACTAGCTTTATCCTCGCYTTTCAAATTGTTATCAACGAGTTTGGGTTGCAAAGTAGAGAAGCTTTTATCTACATCTTGTATCCATTGGGAAGTCTTTTCTTTTAACTTTAAGGAAGAAAAGAAATATGCATAGCAGTCAGTACAAAAGTATAATATTGCGAAAACCTTCATGCCTGAAAAATGCAAAGGTGGTTGAAATATATACTTGTATTTTAGAAATAGGTAGATACAGACCTTCTTTTTATTTTGATGTTTATCTTTTGCCTTCTTTTTAGAACTACTCTGAAYGCTTTCCACAGCTCTAGCTTTATTCCCAACAGAGAAATTCGCATTTTTCTTTTTCTCTTTCCTCAAATCACGTTTTCTTCCAGGCGCCATGTTTCCTGATGGGTAAACACCGCTGCCTCTTTCATTATGTGGGCTCAGAAACGTCACTACATCCGGGTAATTTTAGGCACAAATGGCTGCCGCGCACGCTCAGTGGCGTTTCCTGAGCCGCATTCGATCTTCTCTGTGTGTCCTTGGAGGCTGAGACGTGTAACTGTAGTGGTGGAAGTTGCCATTTTGGCTGGGTTATAACTCCTTTGACCAGCGTTTCCAGGTAAGRCAGCATAATCTATGTGTTTTTTGTATATTAACTTCATCGTTGGAGAARTTTAGSCTGTATTTTGGACGAATTTCACTTGGAATTTGACGAATTTGTGACAGACACTTTCAAAAGTGGTCAGTGATGAGGYTGCAACTTGCCGTGGTTGTAGGGGAGGTCTCTCAGAAGTATTTCGCTTTCTTTAATTGAACTGATCCCGAAGTATTTGGCTTGAATGGTTCAAGCTCTCAAACTGTTTAATTTTCACTTGCACTTTCTTTTTACATGTCTGACCGACCGGCATTTGTCCGTACCTAGTCTACTCCATGCATATTCTAYCTCAGCTGCTATTCAATTTTGAAATCAAAAAATTGCCCACTTTTAATCTTTTACTTCGAGGCGATGATCTTCAGTTGATTATCAGTTTCCAGATTTTGTTCAATGCTTAAGAATAGCCATTTATTCAGTACATCAAATTAACTGTTGACAAGTTTCGAGGGTTTTTTGTACAGAAGTTGTACTCGTGCCATTCGGTATCGGTGTTAACAATTTAAACTATGCTTTTTTCTGTTGAGGAACAAATTCTGTGTCATTTTAATCATTCAAGCGCTTAACTTAAATAGGGAAGTTTGTGTTTAATGTTTAAGAGACTCATCTAAATAAATGTGCTAAATTGAGCACATCTGTTCTTTTTGCAGTTGGTCTTTTCAAATCGATGTTTCCATTAAGAGAAGCCTCATTTTATTGAAGTTTTTTGTCTGTTCTGAATAGTATTTTTGCTCTCTGTGAAATGTAACCTGCTATTAACACCGTTTTGGTAAAACTAGATGATAGCACAAGCTGTCATTATTATTGTTAAATCTTGTTAACATATACAGCGTTATATTTTCATTTAAGAACTAATAGAAATATTACCTTAATCTTCTTTGTTATTACTTGCATTTATGAGACTTTAAGACATTATACACTATTTGATTGGCAATGATTGTTTAATTGTAAAAGAGTTGAGAAACATGTCCTTCCAGCCATCTGCACCATTTTTTCTTCTTATGAAGAATGTAAAAGAGGTGTCTATTCCTTGTTACAGAGATGGTGGAAGATAGAGAGCTCTTCAATCTTCAAGAAACAAGAAAGTCACTTGTTACACTCTTGACTTATGTCTCACAACATAATTACATCAGAGGGCATGATTTTTTTTAGAATCAAAAAGGAAATTATATAAACTACACTATAGTTCTTTGATAAAATATTGTTGTATTTTATTTCACGTTATGGCCATTGCAGCTGTATTTTCAAGTCTTGTGAATTCCTTTTTTCTTGGTTTGTATTCCACAGGCATCATTGTTTGACAAAAATATCTGGGCCTTGTTGTGCAAAGGGTTGATATTTGAACTTTTTAAAACAAGAAAGCTAGAGAAAGTTATATAAGCGCTATAGAAACTTTACATGTTATTATTATTATTATTTATTATTATTACAACCAGACTTATTTAGGTATTGACTTATATTGAATAACTCCAAACCATTTATTAACAGGRGTGCTCCCTGGCTCTAGTTCACCATGCCTGCACCATTGAAACTAAGAGATCTGATCCGTACAATCAGAGCAGCAAGAACAGCAGCGGACGAGAGAGCAGTCATCTCCAAAGAATGTGCACAGATCAGGGATTCGTTTCGTGAGGAGGACAATGATTTCCGCTGCCGTAGTGTTGCCAAACTTTTGTATATTCACATGTTAGGATACCCAGCTCATTTTGGGCAGTTGGAGTGTCTAAAGCTGATTGCATCACCAAAGTTTACAGACAAACGTATTGGGTACCTGGGCGCCATGTTGTTACTGGACGAGAGACAGGATGTTCATTTGCTGGTCACAAATTCCATGAAAAAGTGAGGAATTTAGTGTTATAGATGAAACAAAATGTAGTTTGTTGAGTTTCTAGGTTTGGATTTTATTGTATATGTGAACATAACTGATAGAAGTATATYATAAGAGTCCTGGGGATCATAAAGGATATAAAAATTCTGAAGAAACAGTTGTGTGAAAAGATAAATTTAACACTATAAAATAGGTGTTAAAAAAAAAATTACTGAAGTTTTTTTCAGACATTAGTCCTTCGCCACTAGTTTCCATTTCCTACCTATGAATTCTGAATTGATTTTGTCTGTTGAATTTATTATTTATTTGTTTAATAAGGATTTATCTAGTAGCAATTTACCCTTTGTACAATTGGCACCTGATTGTTAGTAACATGACTTCTCTATTCTCTGATATTTTACTCTCTGATACTTGAATGCAATAATTACAGTCCCTTCAAAGAAGACAGGTTTATTCGTTGCTGGTCATCTCACCCCCTATTGATATCACATCTATGTTATTTCGCCCCTATGAAGATAAACTTTGTTTAACTGTTGGGTCTGAAGCTTATTGTACTTCAAAACTTAAAAACCCTGCTAAACAAAGAGTTTATATTTTAATGTAGTGATTGATTATAATTTTGTTTTTTAGTGATATGAATCATAGYAACCAATTCGTGGTTGGTCTTGCTTTGTGTGCTCTAGGAAGGTATTTACTGTTATATTGGTTTGTTGTTTATTTGAAGCGCAAGACTCAAAAGTGTGACCACAGATGATATATACTGTACAAAATCACTTACAATAAGTTTAAAGATAAGAATTTTTATTAATTTTCAATTGGAATTTGAGTTTGGAGTAGCTAATATTATTAAGTATATTTGGCTCGAAAGTAGTGTCAGACATGTGGCAAAAGAATACGAATAAATTATCTKTTGTTACACGTTTTGGCTTTGTAGCGCTGTAAGTATATCTTGAAGTTGGCATGTGATATGACAAAATTTCTCATGTTAATATTGTCCATGCTATTAAAGTATGATACTGTTGTTTAAGTTGTGACTATTGTTATTCTGTGTCACTGCATAGAATTGTGTTCATTTACCATGAAGATTATCGATTATTGTTTTCTTTTCTTCTTTACCAACAAATCAAATGAAAACAACTCTAGTTTAAYATCAACATCTAGYATTGATCCTCTTKATGCTCTMTTTAATTTTGGTAAAGCAATARTCATAAATGATTATTAATTGAATGKTCTATTCCCTTTTTATTTACACACAGCATCTGCTCTCAGGAGATGAGTAGGGACCTGGCAGGAGAAATTGAAAAGCTTATAAAATCAACAAATTCTTATATTAGAAAAAAGGTAAAGTAAAAATAATTACATTTGTTTTTAAATTTTTTTCCAAGCATCATTCAAATTCATCCAAGTTGTTCAAAAAATTGAATTTTGGGTCACAGTTTTAATTGTTTAGGGAAATGATTTCCTTGTGTGTATACCAGAGAGATAACAGAACCAGAGACTGAATAATTCAATAATTCCGTAATTCAATAAACAAAAGATCAAAACAATGCCACGAAAATACAGTGAAACCTAAGCTTAATACAAGAGATACATGTAGTGGTACACACTGAAGAGACCGATTGGTAGCTGGTTCTCTCTCATGCACCAAAGTTTTTTCTTCACCCAATAAATCAATAATACTATTATTAATAATAATTYTTATGGTTTCTTTCTGTTTATGTTCAGGCTACCTTGTGTGCTACAAGAATTATAAAGAAAGTACCTGAATTAATCGAAATCTTTGTACCATCCACAAGGGCATTACTCAATGAAAGAAATCACGGTGGGTAGTAGTAGTAAATAATGATAGTGATGATGATAAAACATTTGACAGCAAGAACAAATGGGCAAATGCCTTAGATTTGCTTCTTAGAGCCCAAATACTAAAAGCATGAACAAACACTAACCAAATACTGCTAATAAAGTGTGGATTAGACAATAGAAAACAAAGGAATTCACATAATTCCGTACAATTTAGCACTCTTTACTTAAAAATGTACTGAAGTTCTTCATGGTTTTTAACTCGAAGATTGTGTCGCCATTGGCGGCTTGATTGATATTGTTGGCAGTTAGTTATAATTAAATTATATTGCATAAGTAGGTTATCTAATGTAAAACAAATTCAGTAGTGTGCAGAGACCTTTTTCAAGAATAAATTTCCTGGCATCAACAATAATAATATCATTACTGATGCCATTAAATTATCTTCGTGTCAATCAATCCCATCACCATCACTGTATGAAATTCCCTTGACTGATTTAGTTATTTTTCTTGTAGGTGTTCTTCTAACTGGTATATCTTTAGTTACTGCMATGTGCAAACTCAACACAGAAACACTCTCTCATTTTAAAAGAGTAAGTGTACATTTAGCAGAGGTCATGTGATCACTCCTAGGGGTCATGTGATCACACTTTTAGGTCATGTGATTATATACCTGTATTGTTATTTACAAATATATATATATTTTTTTCGTCCAATGATTAAAATGTTACTATTTCACTGTCTGACTAGTGAATGATGAGCAACATTCGCCATTATGAGGACTACTGACTTTCACTTTAACCAACTCATTGATTAATTATAGTGATCATTGGCGTATAAATTACAAGTGTAACAGATTAATGATTGATTGATGAATTGATTGGATGTTTAAGTGATTAAAGGGTTGATTTAGTGATTGATTGATTGATTGATGTCTAGATGGAAGGCCATTGAGGTCTCATTTGATTGCACTTTTAGGTCATGTGATTGCAACTGCCTCCGATAATCTTCCAGAAACTATCAAAAGTCATTTTTGTCCACCGTTAATATTTTGATTATAATGAATGTTTTGGTCTAATTCCAGCATGTTTCAACATTAGTAAAAGTTTTGAAGAATCTTATCATGTCTGGCTATTCACCAGAGCATGACGTGTCGGGAATAAGTGATCCTTTCCTTCAGGTTYGTATACTTATTATAAATCATATTTGAAAAATCATATTTAAAATTTTTGTCTCACTGCTATCTCTTCTTAAAGATATCTTCCTTCTTTGTACACTGTCTTTTCACCACATTTTATTCMCTGACAGGTTCAAATTATACGTTTGCTGAGAATACTTGGGAAAGATGATGAAGAAGCCAGCGAACAAATGAATGATGTATTAGCACAGGTGTGTTTTCCGTGTTCACCAGTGCATCAATGTAACTTTTGTATTGACAGCATATTCAAACCAAGCTGTTAAAATGAACAGATGCAGGGCCACGTATTTTGTCCATTTATGCATTCATAAATTCATTTATCTGTTTATTTTATTGTTTTAATAAATACGATTGTACAAATCAAATAGGTCTATAAATAATGATTTAAACGTTACCTCAACTTAAAATGTTTTGTTTACTAGTCTAGCTTTTGGCTCKCCAAGCCATTATCAAGACTGATGAAAAAAGTTTAGGTTGAAGCAACGTTTAAATCATTATGATTGTACAAGTTGTACAAGTACAAGTTGTTTGGGACACAGACTTCTGAATCATGAACTCCAGCCTTTGATGTAATGGTATTGTGTCCATTAGCTTGTCTTATCAATCACTCAGTAATGATATCTTCCCATTTGATAGGTGGCTACTAACACGGAAACCAGTAAAAATGTTGGGAATGCAATTCTTTATGAAACTGTMCTGACCATTATGGATATCAAGTCAGAGAGTGGACTTAGGGTAAGTTTTTGTTTTACTTTCAAAAGTTTTTTTTTCTTTTTTTTTTCACTCCATTTGTCTGATCTATATCTTTGCTTTACTTCATTTCTTTCTCTCTCTATTTTTTCCTCTTTGTTTTTAAATTTTGAAATTACTCATATTTCTACTTTTTTCAATTCTTATTTTAAATACCTTTCCTTCTTTGTTCCTGATCCAATTTCTCATCACTTTGCTATTGTCTCATTTATTTTTTTCATTTCAGGTCTTAGCCATTAATATTCTTGGAAGATTTCTTCTAAATAATGACAAGAATATWAGGTACAGTTTCCTTTCAAGAAAAACTTGAAGAAAGAGTCATTACTAACCACAATTGCTCATTTTTCTAGCTCTTGACACATAACAATTGTGCAGTTTTAATTGAAATGTAGAGAAATGCAATTTTAAAGAGTTTTAATGTGTTTCAATTGATTTTCTCTATTTTCTTTGTAGATACGTAGCTCTTAACACATTGTTAAAGACYGTCAATGCTGATTACAATGCAGTGCAGAGGCACAGGAGCACAATTCTTGATTGTTTAAAAGATCCAGATATTTCAATAAGACGGTAAGAATATACCTGTATTGTTATTTACAAAATATTTTTTTTCTCGTCCAATGATTAAAATGTTACTATTTCACTATCTGACTAGTGAATGATGAGCAACATTCGCCATTATGAGGACTACTGACTTTTACTATAAGCAACTCATAGATTATTGATTAATTATAGTGATCATTGATGTATAAATTACAAGTGTAACAGATTAATGATTGAGTGAACAATTGATTGGATGTTTAAGTGATTGAGTGATTGGCTGTTTAAATGAATTGATTTACCAATTGATTGATTGGTTAATTGATTGATTGGCTGTTCAAGTGATTGATTGATTGGCTGTTTAAGTGATTGATTGATTGGCTGTTTAAATGAATTGATTTACCAATTGATTGATTGGTTAATTGATTGATTGGCTGTTCAAGTGATTGATTGATTGGCTGTTCAAGTGATTGATTGATTGAATAGTTACTTAAGCACTGACTGGTTATGTGATTGAGTGATTGGTTGATTAATTGATTGATTGATGTTTTGATTTATGATTGGGGATTGATTTATGGATTGATTTAGTAATTGATTCATTAATTGATTTTATCACTAATGGTTTATTAATTGTTTTGTTTTCAGGAGAGCGATTGAACTGTCATTTGCACTAGTCAACAATAGCAATATCAGGGGAATGATGAAAGAGTTGCTTGCTTTCTTAAATGCAACAGATGTGGAGTTCAAATCTTATGTTGCTTCAAATATCCTTACAGCTGCMGACAAGTTAGTGTCMTCTTRTGCAACTCTTTCAAAAAGGATTACCRCAGACAAATAAGCCAACAAAACAAGTTGAAATTTAACTAAATTACCAATAAAACCCTAAAGTTTTTCATAGTTTTAGTGTTTACTTTACCTTGTTGCATTATAATWCTATTTCAGGCACTCACCAAACAAACGATGGCATGTTGACACTATGATGAAAGTCCTGACAAATGTATGTACATGATGGTAACCATTATTATTAATACATTATTAGTTATTATGATGTCCAATGATTAWAATGTTACTATTTCACTATCTGACTAGTGAATGATGAGCAACATTCGCCATTATGAGGACAAACCCTCTAATTTCTGCCTTTGGATCTCCACAGTGTTCGTACARTTTTGAAAATTTCTTGATTTTTKAGCTACAATTGTAGGTCYTTGAAAAGTCCWTKATTACAAAATTTCCTYRAAAAGTCCTTGAATTGAGTTAAATGTTACTTSTGTGTTTYAGTGTGGTAATTACGTGACTGATGATACAGTCCCTAGTCTTATCCATATGGTATCTGCATCAACTGATCTCCAAGCTTATAGTGTACAGCGATTGTTTAAAGCCATGCAGAACGACATTAGTCAGGTAACAAAGACTAAATRAATTTGCAAACAGAAACAATAAATGATAAATTGCGTAAAAAAGTGGAATGGGATGGATGGAAAATTAATGAATAAATAGATGAACCAATGTAAATGAGAGAAAAGTGTATGCTTGCAATTCAGTATCTTGCAGCTCAAAATCTAAAATTTTTCTTGCATTTCCACAGCAATCTCTTGTCCAGATCGGGTCATGGTGTTGTGGAGAATTTGGTGAAAAACTTCTGGTTGATATCGAAGAAGATGAACCCCTGGGGGTAAGAGATATTAATTTGTTTATTTTTTCTTACTTACAATGATAACCATTTCAAATGATGCTATATATTAAAAAATTGCAAGAGTTAAGACTTAAAAAATACTTATTGTCCAATGATTAAAATGTTACTATTTCACTATCTGACAATTCAGTGATGAGCAACATTCGCCATTATGAGGACAAAATATCCTTAATATATAGGAACTCAAATTCCAAAATTGGGGAACTGTATTGGTATCATTACCACTATCACAAGGATATTATATAGTTCAGTGCAGCTCATGTTGATTGTCTTCCCATGTAGGTTACTGAAAGAGATGTTATCGAYGTACTTGAGAGTATATTATACAGTTCTCATTCGACTCCTGTAACTAAAGAATATGCTTTAACAGCAGTCATGAAGCTTAGCACAAGATTTACACAAGATATCGAGTATGTATTCATGAAATATAAGGTTGTTTTTAAAATGATTATCAGTGAGCTTTGTCATTAATTGATTATCGTTTTTTGAGAGAGTTGTACTTTATTGCACAGGGTTTGTGTAACCTTGAATTCTTGAATGGCCATGGAATTGAAAACATCTTTTCAAAAGCACTAGCAAAGCCCTTGGAAATAGGGAAAAAATCCTTAAAATTCTTGAAAACTCATTGAATTAATGCTGTCTGCAGTTGCTTGAACATTTTTGATTGAAATATGTGACAAGGGTTATAAAATTAACAGCTTTAAACATGTGGAACATCAAATGTGATGACTATTGACTATTTGTGCTTCAGAAGTACTTCAAAAGGTCCTGGAATTTTGTGATGAATAATTGCACAAACCCTGATTTCAGTTTTAATACTTTTAACACTATTTCTTCTTTGCAGTCGAATAAGATGTGTTGTAAAAAACTTTGGCTGTAACTTAGACGTCGAGTTACAACAGCGAGGCGTTGAATATGGTGCATTATTTGATAAGTACGATAATATGAGGTAAGATATCTGGAAATAACTGCACTTTTTAAAATCCAAAACATTAAATATTTCACTGTGGTTTTCAGAACTGGTCTRCTTGAGAGAATGCCTGCTGTTCAACAGGCTAAGATGAACGGTGATCTTGCAAATGGTGAAATTGAACCAGACACTCCAAGACAACCAGCCCCAAGTAAGGCAATATGTCAATTAAAGGGACTTGATCAACTTGCTTCCCTTATGGTGTTTTGTTCATGTTTGGAAATAGCATTGTGATATAAGCAAAATTAATTTACTCTTAATTGTCCCATAATGTTCTGTGAATGGAGATATTAAACAATTTKATCTCAAAAACGACAGATGAATTTCAAATAGATATTCGAAATCACTACATTTTTCTCAATGAATGTCAGTTCACCATGGTCCTTAAATGAAATGCTACAGTAGTCCCCTTTTTTAGTTTGATTCCTGCACGCAAGTCAGTGTGATTCCTTGTATCAGTRTGCTGTGGTCACTGAGTTGATTACCTTGTTGGACCTTATAGGGTCATTCTGCAGTCTTTTTGATATCTCAAATTTGTTTTTCAAATTTGAACCAAACTGTCTGTTTTTGGTGTTGATAGTGCCGACAAATGAATGTAGATAATACTAGCTATTATTTTAAATTACAATATGATTAATTTACGTAAATATTATCACGATGTCCAATGATTAAAATGTTACTATTTCACTATCTGACTAGTGAATGATGAGCAACATTCGCCATTATGAGGACAGCTGTCTAGAGAATGCTACTCCGTTATTCTATAAATTAAGTTCTTAAAAAAATAGACTGCAATAAATACCTTGCAATTACAACCCAGAATATGCAAGATCAGAAGTGCACTCTTTTCTCTCCACCTACTGCAAGGTTGCAGACACATTCCCTTCCACTTCCTTGGCAAATTAATAGCAATTTATCAACAAAGAACATTGCAAAAATGAGGAGAGATTGTAGTAACACAATCTTAGATGATGTTTAACACAATTTTGCAAAGGATTGTAACTGATTCTTACGTTTTCATATTTGTAATATACAAATATGAAATATGCTATAGACTGTACAACTAGACCTGAACCACTTCTAGAATAGAACATGAACAGAAGCAATTAGAAAGAGATTGAATGTCAAATTGAAACAAATGTAAACCACTTGAACTGTGGTTCGAATAAGTCAAATTAAAGAATATTACAGTAGCTGCAAGGAGCATTCACACGTTGGGTGTGTTTTTTATACATTAAGTATATATCTGTGTGTTTTATTTATTAAGTGACATAACTTTTGTATTTGTAGTTGAACAGAAGACAATTCAGCCCATCAGCCAAGAGGTAAGCATTTGTCTTTCTATCTCAAGGAATTGTCCAATGATTAAATGTTACTAGTTCACTCTCTTACTACTGGGTGATGAGCAACATTCGCCATTATGAAGACAACATACTATTCTCTATAATAAAGTAGATGTACCTAATCTATGAAACGAATATAACTAATTTACTTAATACCTAATGGTGTTGGTTAAACAATAGAAAACAAAGAGTCATTTACCATGATTAAGTGTTATTTTTTCGGTGTTAAGTTTCAGGGATTAAGTGTGACTATAATAATTCATTTGATGATAATAATTATAATTATAATAACTATAATAATTTGGTAATAATAATGATAATAATTATTGTTATAATTATATATTCATGGTGATAATAATCACTTTGGCATACCACAGTTTATTACCCTCTTATTTTTTATGTTTTTCATTGTTGTTTCCATTTCCACTTTATTACACATAAGTTATTATACTTTGTTTCATGGGTTAATTAAAAAAAAAACACTCTATGAAGTTGTTCCAAATATAATGTCAAAATTTTCACTATTACAATATTGTGAATCATTTATTTATTCTTCAGTCCGATACTCTSCTGGATCTTCTTGGTGGTGGAGACATCACTAACTCTCAGCCAGAAYCACAGCCAGCTCCAGTTGTGAAGCCACCAGCATCAAGTGGTGGAGAGCTGCTTGATCTCCTTGGAGGCCTTGACATGGGACCAACTGCAGGTGATTCACCAATTTCAAAATAGGCTGTCATGCAGCATTGTATTATGGGAAGGCAGGGGCAAACACAGAGAGGGTGGTTTGGGTGGATGTCATCCCAGTTTTRATCCCTAAAACTTAAAAAAGTCATTTCTTTTGAAAGAAAATATAAGAATGAATATACATCATAATTTCTGGAGTAAACATTCACTGTGAACTGAATTTATCAATATTCTATAGGATTCTGTAAATAAGGRCCATGTTGCTCCTTTCTGTGTTTGTAGCATGAACTGAGTAAATTTACCTCGTGATTCTGATGCATTTAATCAATCTAAAATATGAGAAAATGTTCTCCATTTTGT